GTTTACTCAGATCTGCTATGTTTAAAACAAGGACTAATACATCCCTTCCAGAGTGGCCTCATACCAAGATGTCAAAATCACCACACTGACAAGCTTTAGGAAAACACTGGGGCCACATCTCGTCTGCCTTCAGGCTCCTCTCAGTGCCAAATAAGACCTACGTAACTTGTAGGCAGCAAGCTGGGGACATGAATCCCTGAATTCTTAACTTAGCCAACTTTAGACCTAATATATCTCTTTGAGTTATTATTTGGTCTTTTTCTAAATCAATTTTCTCACCTGAAAAACTAACATCAAGAATACTAATTTACCAGAAATAGCATTAAGTTACAGCATTCAAATAATTTATTGTTAGAATATATATATGATAAATATAATGGACATTCCATTCAGAATAAAGAATGCTACTGAACATGTGCATATTTAGAACAAGTCTATTTACCTAAATTCAAGTACACGAATTTCCTTGTAGCCTGGTAATCCAGTAAATGCATTTTCAACCTGTTAAAAATACAAATAAAAATGATAACTATGTAGAAATATGGAAAAATATATAGAAAACAATGCTTTTAAGAGTAGAATAAGAAGTGCACTGTTAACAACTATTAGATGCTTATACACTTACCTAGGCATACCCAGGTCAGAAAGTGAAAGAAAAATTTTTACCTAAACACTGCCACATTTTTCTTTTTCATTTTGTCTTTTAAGGTTTTAATGTGCTTTAATATTAATTTTTTCCAAATTATTAAAAAGCATGCTCCTTGTTGGCAAAGCACTGTTTTTCCCTTATGTGAAGAAATGTGAAAAAAAAAATTGTTTCAAAAGAAGCTGTAATAGCTTTTTTTTTTTTTTCCTTGATATGGAGTTTCACTCTGCTGCCCAGGCTGGAGTGCCGTGGCGCGATCTCGGCTCACTGCAAGCTCCGCCTCCTGGGTTCACGCCATTCTCCTGCCTCAGCCTCCGGAGCAACTGGGACCACAGGCGTCCACCACCGCTCCCGGCTAATTTTTTGCATTTTTTTAGTAGAGATGGGGTTTCACCGTGTTAGCCACATTACCGGTGTGAGCCACCCTGCCCGGCCCCAAAGGCATTTTAAAACATTTTTTCTCTTCTCCTTTCTTCCCAGTCTCAAGTTGTAACCTTGAAAAAAACTGTAGGAGCCTTTTCCCCCTTAGTTTTAAAATACAGCCCTGAAACATACTCTGAAACTTCACTCCCTCCTACCATCTCCCACCATGTACTCCCTTACCCCATGCACGTTTATTTAACTGCATGCTTATATCTAATTACATGCTTACTTAGAAGTTCCAGGGGCTAATCTTGAGACAGACCAAGCATGGAGACACAGCTGCAAAATTCCAGAGATTATCTCAAGACAGTCAACAACCCAGCCATTGTTGAGATGACGCCAGCTGCGCTCCTGGTGGACCATGGCTCGAGATAGCCACTGGAACAAGACATGCAGACCTTGTACCCAGCACCCCTCCTGCATGCCTCCCATTGCCAATTTCCTTTTTCAATCCCCTCTTCCCAGCCTGAAGTTTGAATCATTTCTGGAGGTTAAGCTGGCCGCTTCCCCCACTGCTAGCTTTGGAAATAAAGTCACTTTCCTTTCACTGCACATCGTCCTTGTTACCGGCTTTGCAAGCAGTGAGCAGCCAAGCCTCCCCTCAGTTACACGTACACAATGGAATACTATTTAGCCATGAAAAGGAGGAAATCCTGTGATTCACAGCAACACAGATGGACTGGAGGACGTTATGTTAAGTGAAATAAGCCAGGAACATAAAGTTAAACAGCCTGTGAGCTAAATCCAGCCTACTACCCATGAGTTAATGAATTTTACATTTTTTAATCATTGAAAAAAACAAAAAAAGAGCAATATTTTGTGACATGTGAAAATTATATAAAATTCGATGTCCATAAATAAAGTGAAACACAGCAAAGCTCATTAATTTACAACATATTGTCCATGTCTACTTTTACCTGATAGTGGCAGAATTGAGTAGTTGCAACAGAGACTTTATAGCCTGCAAAGTTTAAATTATTTGCTACCTGACTCTTAATAGAAAAGTTTGACAAACCCTGATCTGAAAAAGTCAGACAGTGATATTGGAAGTGATGTAAGATTTGAGTTATGCTCCCCTGGACCTATGGCCTGCCATATTTACTAACCTATCTCCCAATTCAATGGACATTAGAGAAAGTGCCAAAAAGTACCTGTCATTTTCCTTGGGGGACCTGAAAATAAAAATTGAAAATATTAAACAGAGTTTGAGACAGGTATTATTGTCACATCATTCATCAAAGTACAAGTTCTTTGTGTATTTCCTCTGAATTTCTTTGAAATACCACCTTAAATTAAAATGCTTGCATAGTATCAGATACTGACAATTTCCTATAGATTGAAGGAAGTGAGCAAAGGTGAAAAAAGCATTCTATTTTAAAGACATGGTCTTTACTTTCTTCTAAATTTTAAAAATACTTTAAAACAATTCACATATGGTTATTTCTTCATCAAGAAACTTTTTTCAGTAAATCAGCAGAGAACTCCAGTTGTTGGCTTTAACAAAATTGGGAACCTTCTTTTTTGGGATACAACATGTTATGTAGTATTAAAATCACATGGTACACTGGAAAGTAGTAAGGGTTTAGGTAAAGTCAGGACTGACTAATCCACAGGACACTGCACAAACTTTAATATTTATTATTTTATGTAGCAGATGCTTAAATAGAACTTTCCATGTGCCAGGAACTGTGCTAAGCATTATACAAAACTTAGTTGATTTAATCTTCATTAAGATTTATTAGTATCCTCATAATATAGGTGTAGAACCATGGAACAAAGACGCTAAATAATTTGCTGACGGTATTTCAAAAGCATTTTTTTAATAAAGCAGGATTAAGGTAAATTGTCTTTTTTATACAAATGAGAAGTTAAATCCTGGAAATACACCCAAAAGCATCCAGCCAGAAGTGCAAAGGCAGGATTTGAAGCCAGGCAAGTTGGCTCCAACGACTGTGTTGCCCTTCATGTGCTGCCAAATAAGGGAGGCCTTCAAAGGCCTCACATTCTCAGGTTCTCATCTGAGCTTACAACTGGAGGCAGCATCCTGTTTGAAAACTGCTAAAGTTGAACGGGGGCTACTGATCATGATATGAGACTAGGTAAGTAGGTCAACTTTAAATATTTGGCCTCTTTCCACTAAGCCTGCATCACTAACTAGCTAAACAACACTGGGAAAATTATTTAAATTCCCTGTGCTCTGGTTTCCTTATTGGAAAATATGAGCATCGTAACTATCTCATAGCATTGATGTTGGAATTAAATAGTGTGTGTGTAAATATACATATATATATAAAGCCTGGCACACTGTAAATGCTATATAAGTGCTTGCTGTTATTTCTGGTAAACTCAGAAGTTTTGTCAAGAACAAGCCAAAGTTGAGATGGATAACATCTAAACTTGGGCTAGAGCATCACCTAAATCATGGCACTGAGTCTAGCATGAAGGTTCAGAGCAAGAAAAGCGATAAAGTCAGCTGCTTTGTTTCAAAATTCCTCCTCCACCCCAGTTTACAAACTCTTGGCTTTGGGTTAATATTTCATCCCTTTAAACCTGTTTCCTCCTCTTAAAAATGAGTATTAATAATATCTATCCTGAGAGGGTTGAAGATTAAGTGAGCTCAGCAATGTGGCATACTCAATACAAAATATTCACTCAGTAAAGTATTCACTCAGTAAATGTTCACAAGTATTATACTGTGGTCTTAAGCAGGGAATAAATGCCTTTAAAAGAGGTGTCTGGTTTACTCAGATCTGCTATGTTTAAAACAAGGACTAATACATCCCTTCCAGAGTGGCCTCATACCAAGATGTCAAAATCACCACACTGACAAGCTTTAGGAAAACACTGGGGCCACATCTCGTCTGCCTTCAGGCTCCTCTCAGTGCCAAATAAGACCTACGTAACTTGTAGGCAGCAAGCTGGGGACATGAATCCCTGAATTCTTAACTTAGCCAACTTTAGACCTAATATATCTCTTTGAGTTATTATTTGGTCTTTTTCTAAATCAATTTTCTCACCTGAAAAACTAACATCAAGAATACTAATTTACCAGAAATAGCATTAAGTTACAGCATTCAAATAATTTATTGTTAGAATATATATATGATAAATATAATGGACATTCCATTCAGAATAAAGAATGCTACTGAACATGTGCATATTTAGAACAAGTCTATTTACCTAAATTCAAGTACACGAATTTCCTTGTAGCCTGGTAATCCAGTAAATGCATTTTCAACCTGTTAAAAATACAAATAAAAATGATAACTATGTAGAAATATGGAAAAATATATAGAAAACAATGCTTTTAAGAGTAGAATAAGAAGTGCACTGTTAACAACTATTAGATGCTTATACACTTACCTAGGCATACCCAGGTCAGAAAGTGAAAGAAAAATTTTTACCTAAACACTGCCACATTTTTCTTTTTCATTTTGTCTTTTAAGGTTTTAATGTGCTTTAATATTAATTTTTTCCCAATATTAAAAAGCATGCTCCTTGTTGGCAAAGCACTGTTTTTCCCTTATGTGAAGAAATGTGAAAAAAAAAATTGTTTCAAAAGAAGTTGTAATAGCTTTTTTTTTTTTTCCTTGATATGGAGTTTCACTCTGCTGCCCAGGCTGGAGTGCAGTGGTGCGATCTCAGCTCACTGCAACCTCCACCTCCCAGGTTCAAGCAATTGTCCTGCCTCAGGCTCCTGAACAGCTAAAATTACAGGCATGCACCTCCATGCCCGGCTAATTTTTGTACTTTTACTAGAGACGGAGTTTCACTATGTTGGCCAGGCTGGTCTCGAATTCCTGACCTCAGGTGATCCACCCGCCTCAGCCTCCCAAAATGCTAGGATTACAGGCCTGTAATAGCATTTTTAAATGTTATTGTTTGGATTTGAAATCTGGCCACAGCACACACACTGACAAACAGTGTTTGTTTTCTATAAGTGTGAATGTGGCTGGTGGCATCTGTTTCCTGCTCCTACAGTGAAAGAGAACCACAAACACACGCAACACTCAGATGAGAGGCTTTGTGCGCAGGTAACTCCGTTGGTCCGAAGACCGATTCATGAGCATCACATCTGCAGGAGCCAGTTTTATTACTGAGTCTTTAAAATCTAGCCATGTAACTCCAAAGGAGCTTAGTGACTGGAGGTGGAAAATGGTATGCTAGATTGGACTAAAGATGTAAAAATAATCAGGTGGAGGCGGGTGGATCACAAGGTCAGGAGATGGAGACCATCCTGGCTAATATGGTAAAACCCCGTCTCTACTAAAAATACAAAAAATTAGCCAGGCATCGTGGCGGGTGCCTGTAGTCCCAGCTACTCAGGAGGCTGAGGCAGGAGAATGGTGTGAACCCGGGAGGCAGAGGTTGCAGTGAGCCGAGATCGCACCACTGTACTCCAGCCTGGGTGACATATTCCATCTCAATAATAATAATAATAATAATAATGTTAGGCACAAATGCATATTTTAACAAAAATAAACATTTAATCTGTAACATTTCAGAAGATGACAACCTCAGCAGATGGGTCACTATGGGGCCAACATCAGAACAAAGGAAATAAATTAATAGACTTTGGCAACATCTCTGGGCATCTGCTTTTAACCAAGTCCTCCTATGAGGAGAGTGGGATTTTTTTAAAATTGTGATTCACTGAAGATCTTTATGCCGTAAGAATAAAGAATCCAAAGCCAAAGAATGAAACTCTTTGGCCATAGTAATATGCCCTGTTTTACTCTCTGAAAGGAAATAAAAAACTGTTACAATTCTTGTAGGGTGGTGGGGAGGGGTAGAAGACTAGAAATCAGAAGGCTGAGGGTTAGTCTCAGCTCTGTTTCTGCTGGCAGAGTGTCCATGCACAGGCCTTCTTTTTTCAGAACTAAGACTTCCCTGCCCACCTACCGTATTGATTTAAAGATTAAAAGAAATGTACCTAAAAGCACTCCATTAACTGAAAAATGCTGTACAACTGTATGTTATCATTACTACTAATCCCATCTTAGCACAGGCTTTGCCAGCTCTGGAGTCTAAACATGTATAGCTATCCAGTTGCAAGAAGTCATTCGACTTCAACATCGATACTAATAGTGAGTAAAATGTATTGAGGACTGCAATATGTCTGGTGCTTTGCTTTACTTCAAATCTCTGCGACGATCCCAAGAGATAATACATTATTCCTGTTTTATGGATGAGAAAATGGAGATTATAAGATATTAACTAACTTGGCCAAGGTCACACATTTGGTGAGTGACTGAATCAGAATGTATTCAATCCCAGATCTCTCTAACACCGAAGCCCATATTTTTCCCATTGCATTACATTGCCCCTTCCTCTTTCCCCTGCCTCATGATAAATGTGCTTGAGAATTGGGACCAGGACTGGGAAAACTAAGGTTCACTATAACTTCTCCCTTGAATTAAAAGGAAGGGGACTCTGTAGAAGAAGGAGGAGTACTTTGAAAGGCAGTAGGAGACCTGATTTTCATTTCTGTTCCTAGAGAACTACATGACAACGAACAAGTTGTTTGGCCTCCTGAGCCTCATCTGTAAAATGGAGATGCTTGCCTACATGGCTGCTGTGAGCAAATAAATAGAAAGTCACCTGTGGAGCACAAGGCACTATGTGAGGATCACACTGACACTGGCACTGCCCTCGGGCACCAACACTCCCAGGCCCATCACAGTGTGACCTTCCCCTCTCTGATGTTGTACCTCGTGTTGTCCCAAACCTATTATGCCCCCACTTCTTATCCTTTACACACACACACAGAGAGAGAGAGAGAGAGAGAGAGAGAGAGACACAAAGACTAATAGCTCCTAAACCTCATCCCCTCCAAGCAGGCTTTCTTTCTCCCTGTGTGTCTTCCAGTAATACCCAGAGAAGCTGCGGGAAAAATCTGTGTGATGGTGTCCTAAAGGGAGGGAGCTGGAGGATCCCCTTCAGTTTGAGACATGATCCCCTGCCTCTGCTGTTTCATGCAAAGTGACTGTTGATAGGCATTTCATTCCAGGTAAGGGGACAGGGAGTACAGAGATAGGCCAGAGAAGGAGGTGTTCCATGGTAGGTCCAGAACCTTCAACACCCTCTAATCACCTCAACTCAATAGCTACCTGCCTCATAAAGTCCCTGATGGAGACATTTTTCAGAGTGTTATTGGACTTCTCTAAATCTGCAGTCATTCCATGCAATTGTTTACGCAAACACTAAGCTATATCAAAAGTTCCTTAATCAAAGGGCAGAGAAAACCAGACGGCCAGCCCAAGACACTCTTTGATGCCAGGTGGCCACTGGCCTGGCTGACATTTCTTCCACATACCATGCAGCCTTGCAACTTGGCCACACCACTAGGAAAATGAATTGTCTGGCCTCCCCTTCCCACGTCTGATGGCTACAATAATGCTTTGGCTGAGAGATGCACATTTTTATTTCCCATCTGGACATAGTATCTGGGGAAGAAAATTAAGGTAATGGAATTGATAAACTTGGCTAAGGAGAACCCCGTCAAGAAGGAATGGGAAAAAATAAACAGTAAGGAATGATGTGCCCTGTCATCTGACAGACAGGGATTGATGAGCATTCAATGTCTTACTGCACAAAAGCAAAGGCAAACTAGACGGGGACCATGGGTCATTTCTGACGGAAAAAATCTTGAGTTTAAGTCCTATATAGAAGTTTTCCAGAAAGTGAAGTTATGGGATGGTGTAATCCACAATTCTTTAAAGAAATCCCTTTTTAAAAATACCTCCAACTAAGGATAGGAGAAACATTTATTTTTCACTGGATGGCCTTTTATGCCTCCAAACTTTGTACCGGGTATTACCTATGTGTTAACTATTCAAAATTTTTCAACTAAAAAATACTAAAGATGAAATTAAAAGACATTAAATGTAATGTTCCCTTAAGAAAAACAATACAGTATGTGTAGTTTCTTAGAGAAGCTTATTTCTCCAAATATTTTCAAGTCAAAACTATGCCACAGGACACATTCTTCCTTGGCTGTGCAGCAAAAGTTGGAAATTACATTTATTTTTTAGCAGATGGCAAGATTTTTCTTTCTGTGAAAGAATTCATCTGTCCTGTGACTTTTTACAGAGTTTTCTGAAGAAATGGCTGAGTAACCACTCCAGGAACCAAGTAGACAAACAACTTGAAACCTAAACCTATCTTTAAACAGGGTTGTAAATATGGGAAACTAACATAGCAGGCATACTGTCTTGTTTGTTTTTTTTTTTTTAATCACCCACCTCTGAAATAAATTCTTCTTCAAGGTGCTGGTGGTGAAAGCTGGAGGAATCCTGTAGTTCTTCCCTGTACTCCTTCCCCAAAAGGTGGATACTGAATTCTGCAATCTGTTCAGCTGCTGGTTTTGTGGCTTCTTCTATCACATTCTCAATTTCATTGCTAACCTGGATTTTCAGAGAAAGAACAATAAATGCCAAGGCTTATTCATTCAGTCAAAAAGCATTTATTGATTGTTTCAATGTGTCAGAACTGTGCTAAAGGCAGCCTCTGAAGATAACATTATTATACCGTATTTAACTTTGGAACAAATTGGGTAGACTTTAAGACATAGGCCAATACTGAAATTACTATGCATTTGTTCATTCCTTTGAACGCACATTGCACAGTTCAGGGCAAGGTAGAAAATTTTCCTTGGGAAACCATCAAGGTGAGTTTAAAAATAGTTGACTGCTATAATTATCATCTGAAAATAGCCTAGAAGGGTTGTTTCCAAACTTTTTTGTCTTAGAGCCCTTTATACTCTTAATAATCATTGAGGAATCCAATGTATGTGGGTCACACCTATACATATTTACCAATCAAAAGATTAAAAGATAAATTTAAAAAACATTAATTCATTTAAATATAATATAATCATCTCAGTTCATGTAAAAATGAAGAAAATATTCTGCAAAATAAAAAAATAGTGAGAAGAGTCACATTGTTTATATTTTTGCAAATTCTTTAATGTCTAGCTTAATAGAAGACAGCTGGATTCTTCTATCTGCTTCTGTATTCCATTAGTTACAATATGTTATTTTAGTTGACATACATGAAAAAAATCTGGTCACACAGATATCTATCAGAGAAGGGAGGAATATATTTAGATTTTTCAGATAACTGTGGATATTCTTTTTTGATGCTACACCTCACTCAACAAGCAGTAATTTCTTAAAGGTTAGTTGCTATGTGGAACCTGAACCCATATTCAACAAACTTTTTGTACTCTGTAACATAAAAACCCAGGCCTTCTACTGGCCAAAGCTGAAATAATTTAAGCAACAATAAATAACGGATTATAACCCAAAGAATAAATTAAATATCCATGAGTCTATACTGATATAATAAATAAATGATGAAACAAATAAATGAAAGGGAAGTGACAACAGTTTCTTACAGAATAGTTTCAATAATTAATAAAGGTAGAAAAAAATGATGGAAGTAGAAGATCACTACTAGAATACCACAGTAATAATTATCACATGCAAAATACACTTAAGTGCATGTAATCCAAGTTTCTCCATTTTGATACATAAGAAAACCAGGGATTGAATAGGATGAATGACTAGCATAAAGAATCACAGCATGTCAATGACAGAGTCAGGAAGAGAATATCAGGGCTTTTTTCATTGTATCGTTTATCATCCCTGATGAATCATACAGTCAGAGACCTTTAAAACTTCAGAATGGGGCCGGGCGCGGTGGCTCAAGCCTGTAATCCCAGCACTTTGGGAGGCCGAGACGGGCGGATCATGAGGTCAGGAGATCGAGACCATCCTTGCTAACCCGGTGAAACCCCGTCTCTACTAAAAAATACAAAAAACTAGCCGGGCGAGGTGGCGGGCGCCTGTAGTCCCAGCTACTCGGGAGGCTGAGGCAGGAGAATGGCGGGAACCCGGGAGGCGGAGCTTGCAGTGAGCTGAGATCCGGCCACCGCACTCCAGCCTGGGCAACAGAGCAAGACTCCGTCAAAAAAAAAAAAAAAAAAACTTCAGAATGGGAAAGAACCTCAAAGATTCCACCACTCCTTCTGATGCTTGAATTTTCTTCATAATATCCTTGATAAATGGCTGCTTATCATCAGTTCAGATGGCTCTGATGAGAAAGAAGCATGCCTTTCAAACACAGACTACTACACTTCAAAAATGTTCTCATGGTTGGAAAGTTCTTAATATTAAACCCAAATTTACCTTCCTATAAATTCTACCATTGATCCAAATTCTATAACCTGTGACACATTTAAAACTTAGTTGCACAAAGCCCGTCGAATATGCACAGGCAGCTATCACGTCTTCCCTGACTTTTCAGTAGTTCCTTTTCTCCACACATTTCTTAGGCTCTTAATATCTTTCTTAGAGAATGACACTCACAAGTGAAGTCTAGCCAATGAAAATAGGCAATATGTTGTTTTAACAGAAATATATGAAAAAATCTAGCCACACATCTCTCTTACAGTAAACTGTATTTCAATTAAAACAATCTAAAATTACACTAGTTTTTGTCTTTTCAGTAACTGCATCATACTATTGATTCACAGTAAGACTAATATCAACAAAAACTCTTAGTCCTATGAAATTTTGCACAAGACTTTGCATTTTTTCCGTATTAAGCTTCATCTCACTAAATTTTCAAAGAGACTCGTTTCCAGTTTATTATTTTAAAAAATCTTGAGCAGTATTGATGCTACAGAATACTGAAAATGCTAAGTAAATATTTTAATGGTTTTAATGCATAGTCTGCAAGAAAGTAAAAAGAAAACAAAACAAAACCAAAGTGTCAAAAAACAGGAATCCAGAGAGTTGAGTCAGTGTCGAGGGTGGCAGCTTCCATGGAGCATCTGCTGATCCTTTGTGACCTAGGCTTTAAGTTTAAATAGCACAAAGGGACAGAATACAAAGTAGAAGGTCTATACATGTTGACAAATCAGATCAAAGACTCCCACATAAAGAAAGGATTCTAAAAACTCAATGGACAGTTTGAACAACAGTAGATTAAGTTGAAAGAAGAATTAGTGAAGTGGCAGACATAACTGAAAGCAACACAGAGAGACACAGAAATTAAAGTAATTAAAGTAGTTAAGAGACATGAGAGAGAAAATGAGGAGGTCAGGCACATCTAATCATGAAAGATAACAGCTGAGAATTTCTCCAAATTTATGTTAGACATAAAGTTTCACATTAAGGAAATACAACAAATCCAAACCACAATAAATAAACATAAATACACATCCATACCCACTTTTGTGAAACTGCAGAATCTTAAATACAAAATCGTACACTAAATGTGTATATATATATGCATATACATATATACACAAACATATATACATATGTGTATATGTAGATGCATATATATCTTAGAAACAACCAAAGAACACAACCAGATTACAAAGGGAGTGCCAAATGAACTGATAGTTCACTTCTCAGTAGCAACAACAGAAGCAGAAGATTGTAAAATAAAAGATTGACAAAAAAACCCTTCAATCCAGAATAGAACATAGATTTAAAACACCATTCCAGAATTAGAATGAAGAAATTTTCAGATGATCAAAAGCTGAGATCAAAACAGTGAGAGACTTTCATTAAATTAATATCTGAATTATATATTTCAGAAGGAAAATCACCCAGAAGATAGATCTAAAATATTTTTTTAATTAGAAAATAAAATAGTAGGGCCAGGAGCAGTGGCTCGCACCTGTAATCCCAGCACTTTGGGAGGCCGAGGTGGGCAGATCACTTGAGGTCAGGAGTTCAAGACTAGCCTGGCCAACTGAAACCCCATCTCTACTAAAAATACAAAATTAGCTGGGCATGGTAGTATGCTCCTGTAATCCCAGCTACTCAGGAGGCTGAGGCAGGAGAATCACTTGAACCTGGGAGGCGGAGGTTTTAGTAGCAGAGATCCACTGCACTCCAGCCTGGGTGACACAGCAAAACTCCATTTCAAAAAAATAATAAATAAATAAAATAAAATAAATAAAATAGTAAACATCTGGGTAAATCTTAAACAAATTTTCGCTGTATAAGTAGAATATAATACAGTCTAATTAGTAGAATGAAAAAAGAGAAAGAACAAAAATACTGAAAAGTAGCATATAGGTCAGCAAAATGATCATTTGAATTACAATGTTCTAATGTTTCCACATTGCTCAGGATAAGAATAAAGATGTTGAAAAACTTAAAATTTGTTAAGTTAAACACACATTATAATTTATAGGATAACTCCCAACAGAACCAAAATATGGTATATAATTTCTAGAAGAGTAGATGGGAAAATGCATTAGGAAAATAGCTGCACAATAAAACTACCTTGGGCTTCATTTGAACCAGAGCTACAGGCAATCTAATTTTTGTTAGGTATCTCTATATTGTTGTGTTTTCCTACTGGTTCTATAAATTGGCTTAAATCCTCTGTTTTGGATATTAATGTTCCAATTGACTGCATACAATTCCTTAATTTCCATTAAAGTGAATTCTATCTATTCTATAAATGTTTTCAGATCTAAATCACAGCTATTCTGCCTCAGGTTCAAAGCTACAGTATCACTTTTTATTCATTCATTCACAAATATTTATCAAATGCCAGTATTTGCTAGCACCATCTACTTGGAACACGGCTATACTTAGCATAAAAATATTGATTCAGGTATCCACTCAGGGATTACCTCCAGACTTGTTCAGTGACAGGTAGGGTGATGAGGCAAAGTGGAGCGACTTAACCTGATTTCATGTAAGTTAAAATGTCCACGTTGGGAAGTGAAGGTGCAAGATAACTAAATTGCATCTTCCTAGTGACTACGTTTTGTCAGAGTTTGCTCTATGTTTAAAAAACAGCATTTGTGAACCCCCTAATTTTTTAAATGCAGTATTTAAATATCTAACAAAATGTTTCTATATTCCTGGGCAATGTGTAATTTTTTTGTTAATCTGTATATATCTTTTGTGAGAGACTCAGCTATAGGATTTAGTGTTGTTCAGTGGACAGGTTTCTATTAATTATGGTATATTCACAATGCATGGTACTTTTTGCCTTTTAAACTACATAAAATGTATAGTTTTACCCTCTGAAGAGCTAAGATCTGGTCTCTTAAGGGTTAGAAGAACATAGGCAAAACCACCATAGTAAATCATGTCACAGAGGCCACAAGAGGCAGTGGGCTTACCTCAATGACAGTCCATTTCATTTATAATTTGAAGCCCTCTCTCACCAAAAACTCTACAATAAGAGCAGATTTACTGAGTTCTCCAAGGAACCTCAAAATTGTTTTTAATGTAATGGTTTTAGAATTCACGTCATTTTTCTAACAGGGCACTACATGAAGTCCTGTGTAGTCCAGCAATGGGAGATAAACTCTCTCTTACTCTCTATGCTCCATGTTAGAAACTAAGTAACAGAACAGAGCATCACTCACACTCTCCTCTGGCCTTTCCAAGCTGCTGTCTGAGGCACCTTCATAGGAGTCCACCCCTGGATGTGGAACACTGAGAGCAGCGTCTAAGAAGAAAAGCAAAAACATATGCATGAATTCAGTCCCTGATTAAGTCAGAATTCCTATCAGGAAATAAGGAACTGACTTCAAAAACCATTCCCATAAATAGTTTGCTTTATTGTCCTGGAAATTCGGTGCTTTTAACCTCAAGACACATTTGTATGGCGTCTTCTCAGAACAAGAGATAATTGTGGTGTATTCAAGAAGCATGTATTGAGCACCTACTGTATGCCAGACTCTGCACAAGACACTACGGACACAGAGACAACATTCCTATACTTAAGGAGCTATCTAGCAAAGGGGACATATACTAAAAGAAGTAACTCCTCTAGCAGAGAGGAGAAGTGGGTAAAGGTTGGAAATTGGCTGTGAATTGACAAGTGTTAAAACTGGACCTTATCATGTTATTCTATTTTTGTAGATGTTTGAAATTTCTAACACAGAGAAGTTTGTGGGTTTTTTTTTTAATTAAAAATAAAGAAATGAATTACCAATTTACAAGAAATATACTGGTCAAAGGAACATGTTAAACTGTACCACAGAATGCAACAAGAAAATCCTTCCTCTGGAAAACTCTCACAGGACGAATGACAAATGGTGGCGTTAGAATGGTTCTACACTTTGACATTAGTGGTAGCTACAGAGTGTTTGCCTTAAAATAATTCATTAGCTCCTACATTTGTTTTCAGTGGTGTTCTGACTTGTGTTATATACTTAACGATTAAGGATTTTTAGGTACCGACAACATTATGCCATAAATATTTAAAAATTACTTTTTCTTGAGAATTTTGAACAACATATAAAAAGAGAGAAATCTGATATTTTTTAAAAGTTAGCACAAAAAAATGTACTTTTTTGTGAGACTGTCTTAAACCATAAATAATTTAAAAAGAAAAGTGAATAAAGACACAAAAGCATACCTCCCAATGTTGAAGTATCACCAAGAGGAACTGGAGAAGACAGTTCAGGGCTAGAAAAAAAAATGTTTGCAGTTAATGAAATGACAGACACATGAGGGTTTATTTTGGAATTTTGGAGTTGTTTTCCAAAAAGGAAAACACTAGATCACCATTTAAGGGCTCCCAAGCAAAAGTACCAAGAAGCAAAGTTTTTAAAATTAAAACTTCATAATTCATTTACTTTACATGTATTGATGCATACTCAACTAGAATCACCATACCTAGAATTCTTCCCTAGTTATCTTTTCATCACCCTGTTTTCTCTCTTCTCAGTTCTTACCACTATGTGAAATTTTATTTGTCTTCTTATTTATCTCTGTCTCTAATGCCTTAGTCCTCTAGCACATTATTACCCAAAAATGGTAGCCACTGGACACGTGTAGCAATTTAAATTAATTAAAATTAAACCAAGTTAAAAACTCAGTCCTCATTTACACCTGCCACATTTCAGGTGCTTAATAGCTGCATGTGGTTAATGGCCATCATACTGGACAAGATGGTAAAGAACATTTCCATCACCACAGATGTTCTGTTGAACAGGAATGCATTAAGAATCTAAACTGCATGAGATTGGAGACCTTGACTAATCTATTCCTGCTGTATTTTCCAGTGCCTAAAACAGTACCTGCCATTTAGTAGGCATTAAAAATATATTTTGGGGTAAATGAATACTATGTGCCAGGCAATGTAGAAGGTACTTGGCATGTAATTGTGAGCAAAACACCCATGGTATATGAAGGTTACAGTCTTATAGAAATTATACACACTAAGTCAGTAATTACAGATGAGACAAGTAGCATAGACGAGAAAGTAGTGGCTGCTAGAAGGAACATAAAGTCACACACCTGATCTCATTGGAGAGATCACTGAAATCATAAAACCTATTTATGTAAAGAAAGTCAAGCTTAGAGAAAGTATTTGCTGTAGGCCACATTGCTAACAGGTATCAGGTATCCTAGCTGTCGTGTTACCATGCCACTCTGCAACTGCAAGCAAAGATAAGAAGAGATCAGAAGATAATTTGAGAAAGCCCCTCCTCCTAAAGGAAAGAAAATAGGTTTCCACAAGTCCATATTTTCACATATCCCAAAGGTATAAAAGTTAGATTTGCAGTAATTTGGGAACATTTTCGAATTTTCAAGTTTGTACACATGTCCTAAGAGGAAAAGGGCTATTCCCTTAACCTTTTCCAAAGATATTGGATCAGTGATGATTGTCTGTTTTCAACTCATAGCAATTAAAAACTCTCTTCAGGTCGGGCATGGTGGCTTATGCCTGCAATCCCAGCATTTTGGGAGGTCCAGGTGGGTCAATCACCTGAGGCCAGCAGTTCGAGACCAGCCTGGCCAACATGGTGAAACCCTGTCTCTACTAAAAATACAAAAATTAGCTGGGCGTGGTGGCACATGCCTGTAATCCCAGCTACAGGAGCCCAAGGTATGAGAATCACTTGAACTCAGGAGGCAGAGGTTGCAGTGAGCCAAGATTGTACCACTGTACTCCAGCCTGGGTGACAGAGGAAGATTCTGCCTCTACATAAATAAATAAATAAAAACTCTCTTCAATGCTACCACGTCAACTTCCTAAAGTAATTTGATCAACAGTCAAAAATATCTCCTTCATAGATGTGTCCAGGTCTGTGACGTGCCCAGTAAGTCACATCTTCAGAGCCACACCTTTAGATCACCCTACTGCTCTCAATTAGATTACAGAGGTACTCAAAGCCTCGAGATAAACACGGCACACATTTGGAGGCATCAGTTTGACTAGAAGCTTAAACAGGTGAGGAGTTAAATAAGAACTGATGTATAATTTAAAACATTTTAAAATTATAACAAACATGGCTATACTATGGAATAGAATATAAAGTTTAAATGAATATGAAAATCAAATATGATAATTCAAAGACATTTTATGATTGGAGCTGGTAGGGGAGGGTCAGCTAGGGGCATGTTTTCTAAATGCCCAGGCTTTGGTAGAAAATTTGAGAAACATTAAGTTAAAAAAAAAAAAAAAAAAAAAAAACTTCATCATAAACATCCTTCTGGTTTTAAAAATTCTATCTAAAAAAGTAAGATGTTAAACTATTACACAAAACTCATCAGTATTGTTTATTTAGAGTACTTTTGCATAAAATTGCTTACTAAGTTTCATCTAGAAGAACCTAAAGGGTACGACATCTGGACAAGTTATTTTGATGAGCAGAAGACAGCATGAGTGATGAGGAAGCATCAGGAGGCTTCCTGGGTTACAGAAGATGGAGCTGAAAAAAATGGGAATCGGATGCATTTGGAAGAAACATTAACATAATCAGGCCTGAATAGGGTCTATCAGTTGTCCACATGGCAGTACTCCTTCTCAGTACCTTCATTTCACAGATGAAAGAAATAAGGTCCAAACAGGTAAAGCAACTTTACCAGGCTCACACAAAACTTCCTAACTGTATCCAGTTCTCTTTCAATGATAACAGCAAGAATAATTACAACTAAATTTACTGAGCCCTCATCATGTGTCATACACTGCTAAGTGCTTTATTTAGGTTAACTAACTTAATTCTGGCAACCACCCTAAGAACGAGATCCTATGATCCCATTTAGACTGATGAGGAAACTAATGCTAGAAGAGGTTAACATTTGCTCAGGGTCACACAGCTAAGCCAATGGAGGAGCTGTGATGTAAAATAGGCCCACTGGATGCCAGAAACCTCACTCTTACCTCAAGTCACTTCTTCACAACATGGCCCTTACATGATCCCTACTCTTTAGAAGGGTTTCATTTGGCCTTCATGATACTGGCCTATAAAAACCAAATGACCTAAAAGTCAATGTGTAAGGTCCCAGAAAGAGGAAGGGGAACCTGGTTACAGTTGGAGACCTATGGAGAGAAACCAGATATAAGGATCACAGTAAGGCAAAGGTAGGAAAGCACAGCACAGCAACTAGAATAGGATGTTGGGATGAGGTAGCAGAGAAACCGGACTTCACCTGGGGTGAGTTAAACTGTCCCCGACATCAAATGAAATTTAAGCTAATTCTCTAACTAAGCAAGTATTCAGAATGGAGAAGTTTGATTACTTCAGTTGAACTAGATTTCACCTTGCTAAATTCAAAATAACATTATTTTAACAGTGGTAAGTAGGAAACTCTCAGTAATTTAAATCACTTGCCTACACTCCAACTCTTAATCCCTCACCCACCCACTCTCCTTTCAAGAGACAGTAAAGAACACTTAACAACAAGAATCCTTTTACATGTTTTCATTAAGTATTCCTCCTGCAGAGATCCTTTAAAATGTCGCTCACAACAGCACTGGAACACAGAGGTGTCTTGAGTTTGGAAAGAGAAATACTACTTCATTTCTAAGTCAAACCACAAAGTTGAAGCTGTTCAGCTAAGATCTTTAGCTTAATACTAACAACATGCAACCCCTTACTATCTCCTTTCCTCAGTTCATCCAGCAAGTTATTCATTCTTCACCACTATTACCTAATCATGTCAATGGAATTCAGGTGGGATTGTGTTAAAAGTTGCTCACAGCCACATAGAACATACATTTAAAGACATTGTAAAACAAGCCAGGCACAGGTTCATATGCAGATCCCTACTCCCCTTGATGACCTTCTATACTTTGCTTTGCTCTTGAATATGTTACTATAATCACATGCGACAGCAAAAGAATTCAAAGAAAGGAGTTAAGAAACCTGAGTGCTAGTCCTAGATGTATCACTAACTTTGTGTATGATTTAGGGAAATACCTTAGTTGCTCTGGGCCTCAAGAACTTAACCTTTAAAACAAGAACACCTCCATGTCTTCCTATTTCATGAAGGTGTTGACAAAAACCAAATAAAATATTATATGCAGAAGCATCATAAAAAGTATGAAATGCTAAACAAATATAAAACAGGGGTTAATGGGATAGTGACATATGTCATCCCAAACAGAATAAAACATTTGCTGAAAAAATATATATATAGGCAGGGCACAGTGGTTCACACCTGTAATCTCAGCACTTTGGGAGGCCAAGGTGGGCGGATCACCTGAAGTCAGGAGTTCAAGACCAGACTGGCCAACATGGCGAAACCCCATCTCTACTAAAAAACATACAAAAATTAGCCAGGCATGGTGGTACATGCCTGTAATCCCAGCTACTCAGGAGGCTGAGGCAAGAGAATCACTTGAACCTGGGAGGCGGAGGTTGCAGTGGGCCGAGATCAGACCACTGCACTCCAGCCTGGGTTGCTCGTTGCAAAAAATATATATATATACACATATATATATTAAAATATATATACACACATATATATTTGGCTTTGTGATTCATGATGGGTATTCTCAACTACAATTCTCAACTACAAATGTAAATTAATTGAGACACACACACAATCCCAAAGAGCAGTCATTATGCTGAGAATATCACCAGAGACCTGATAACAGACTTGGGTGATTAGGCAGAAATTCTGTTATTAATTTAACAAATATTTAGTAAGCACATATCCTAGGCTGAGCCTTGCACTGGTTATTGGGGATGTAACCATAAAACCAGATGGCAGGAGTTTAAGCAGTGACTGGAGCTAAGTGGACATTCTTTCAAGATGTCTGGCTATAATGGAGATAAATGCAGGCTTTTTAAAAAATATGTAACATGAGAGGGACTTGAGCATGTTTAAATACTAATGGGAAGGAGTCAGTAAAGAAGGAAGTTGGAGACTCAGGAGAAAGAGAGGAACAATGACAGGCAGAGGTTTCTAAGAGGAAAGACAGAATGTAAGGTCCTGAATACAGGCAGAAAATGTTCTTTTTAAGAGTTGGCAACTGATAGCAGAGACATTTAAAATAGGATATAGCAGAGTATATGGTGCAAGACACACATTAGCAGATGTATTAGAGTTTGCACAGAGGTCTGCAATTTAAATTACAGAGAACTGTGATTGGCAGAATACTAACCTCCCAAAGAGGTCCATATCTTAATCCCCAGAGAGGGGAATTAAGGTTGCAAGTAGAATTAAGCTTG